GGCCTTCTTCCTCGAACCATAGAACCTTCCTCCGGAGGTAAGACCGCAGCTGCTCCGATGCTTCGGGACTCCTGGCGAAGCCCAACATCACGGAATCGCGAACCCTGGAACCATATTTCTCTAGGGCAAAGCTGATGCCTCGGTCGTTCTTAGGCAATGGGCACAGCTCCGGCCCACTCAGCCTCCTGCACGTAAACACCACAAGCCAAATCCCCCAGGACCATCTGGCTGGGCTCCCGGAAGTTGACAGCAGGGGAGAAGAACTCCCTCTCCGATCTTACGGACGCCCTCTTCTCTCAGATCCTCGAGCCGACGGATCTCGCTGACGACGAAAGTCGATCTGTTCCTCAAAACTCGACCCTCGCTTTCTCGACCTCGGTCGCATGGTCCTGAAGCTGAAGTTTCAAGACCTGGATCAGCGTAACGTCATCCGCGGTCCGAACACCACCGGCTTTCCTCCGCATCTTCACGCGGCGATGGATGTCGCGCGGCAGGGCAAGGGCGCGCCTCTCACGCCGCGTCTCCTCTCGGTGACCAAGAAAAGGGAAGAAGGAAAGGGGGAATTTCGGGCTGGGGCCTTGCTATTGTGGGCTTAATTTTCGTTTGAAGGGCCTAAATTGGGCATGGGCCCTTTTTATTTGATGGGCTACAGAACAATCTCAAAAGGTTTGGGCTTGGGTCTGATAAGATTTGATGTGCTAAGGTTTGCGTAAGTTGTTTTTCCCTGTAACATAGTAATGGCCTGATGATTAGTTGAAATTGCTCCAGAGTTTGATTAAAGAAAACATTCATCTGACGTCATAAATGACTAGAGATTGGCTACTTACTCTGGAATATAAATAATAAATGATGGAGTGCCCTACAGGAATGACTTCTTTTTATAGCCAGATCCAATCATGTGTTTCTCTATAGAAAATTGAAATCAAAGTACTACATGCGATGATGTCTGCATCACATGGAAGCATACTTAGGTTCATGGAGATTTTATGTAGTTTGAGTATCACAACAAGTGACCTGGAAGTGTCGCGATGGAGAGAACTACCACGAATCGAAAGCTCAGCTCATGTGGAAGTTTTGGATTATGTCTTGATCGATCTGAGGTTTACCATCAAACTCAAGGTTTGACTATCCCAGCAAAGCCACGTTTAGCAACGTCATCTGCTTTGGCCATGGAGTGTGCAGCAGAGCACTGACCCAATTGGATTGCACCAGCCACATGAATTTTGTTCGGAAGCAAATAACAAAAGCTTGCCCACAAAACGTTGATCGGAGAGCAACTTGAGCTTCAAGATTGCTTAATCGGATACAAGGAATACGATATCACCGAGTAACTTAGGACTTGTAGCTAAGGATCAGTTCATACTTCGATGGGAGACAAATAGTTTGACACTCCCTGGCTTTCTAACATTAACCCCTTTCGATACCAACTTTCTAAACTCTCACTAGAACCCATGCCAAATGCTCATCGCAGTTCAACATGATAGACATGTCAAATTCCAATACCCATACTATTATGTCTAAGCAAAATGCTATCATATATCGAACTCGTCGTGGTTATACCCAACATTCATGTTAACTATGTTTTACTAACTAGGTCACATCGATCCATGCAATAACTCCACTTTGTAAGACCTGGACATATCCACAAGATAATAATAATGATATAGGATGGAACATATTATTCTCGATCACAAAAAGCATCTAATTTATTTCATGCCTATCCAACTACATACTACAAAAGCATAGACAAGGACATTAGTCAATCGAAGACGTTGTAAATCTCTTGGCTATATTTAACAGAGAAGAGGATGGAATAGTCGAGGACGTTCTGACCTATTTCATCGACATCTCACAAATGAATAGAGACATAAAAGTGGCAGCCCAACCTATGTAATTGACCCCCTTATATAGCCAAAACTGGCCAACTCAAACTTCAGAGAACTATTTACTAAGAACACAATTAAAGTAGCAGTCTAAAGATACACAAACCACCTATATGAATATCATGCGGACACTTCAAGGAATCGCACGCATCACTATAGGGCTCTCTTCTCGGTGCACTGCGGTAAGTCGGCGAACATGACCAACAAAATCTGCAACGGGTAACAGCATTTCCATTTGGGTCCAATTGCAACTACAGTGAACATTGTCCCTAATAACTTGAGCGCTGACACGGGGACTCATGGTGCTAGTACTACAGCTTGTATAAAAATTCCACCGGTGCGTGTTGCGCGCATGCATCGGGCAATGGTGTGCTTGAACACCCATACTGTATAGCGTGCATCGATTCCGCAAGAAAGCAACTCTATCACGAGTGTGGCTAGACTATCAGTGCTCAAATTCAACTCAAGGATTGTAAGAGTTAGGTACAAGGAATATTCGTCCATGGAATGAGACTAAGTGTGAGGGTTAATCTTTCGCTGAATAATGGAATGTTGCCTCCATGTAAGAGATCGGGTCTAAATATATATGATGACAAGATTGTCCTTCTCAACGACTTGGGACTATTATGCATGTGTAACTATTTCAATCAACAATGATGAAGATGATTTTGATGATGAGAAACCGAAATATTAGAACGATAAACTCATCAATATCAATTACGTATCTAATACTCGAGGATGACCCCTATACTTAATTTCCCCATGTAGGATGTGAAGATAACTCTAAGGGATTTTTAAGTGGTAAACGATTGGGATGTCGTAGATTCAATCATTCATCGAATCTGAATCCATGAATAAAGAGAATGGTCACTTCGTGGAGAACACACGAAGAACTTGCCAATGCTATTAGATTTAGTGAATGGCCTCTCCTTCAATCTGTTTAATTTATGGCTCTCTTCTTAGCGTTTGACGATTTCGAATCAGAGGCAGGTAATTATGTCAGATGAGAGTTTTCCGAGAGTTTACGCGGAGGAGAGAGAGGTTGAAGTCAAGGAAGAGGAGCATTGCAAGAGGGGAAGGAAGAGGAAAATGAACAGTGCCTAAAGAAAAGAAAGAAAAGGAAGAAAAGGAAAACATAAACGAAATCATAAAAAAAAAAAAGCAAAACGACGTTGTTTTCCATAAATTTGTTCATGTCAAACGCCGGTGGTGTTACAGACCAAAAAAATAAAAATAAAAATGCCGGTGGTGCCACGTAGGACCGCCGGCAATGACGAAATGCCCAGTCAGCATTTATATGCCTAAATTAAGAATTTCATGCAAATATTTAGTACTACATTGGCAAAATTGAAATCTGACTAAATTGATAATCGTACAATAGGTTTAGGATTGACTGATTAATATTCACTAGAAATAGAGAGCAGTAAATTGAGGAAAGAAAAGAAACTATTAATTTTGCTCTCAAGAAGATTCTGCATGAATAGCTTGCCCACCTTTTCCGTATCAAGTTGATAATCCGAAGAATTTGACGAGTGTAGGAAAGCTATCGAGAGAAAGGAATTTAAATTGTTTGTGCTTTCGGGTTTCTTGTGGATTCAGAGCATGCACTTATATTATGTTTGATAAATATATTGCAATTTTATATCTCGAAACTACGTGATGCGGTTTGAATCCACTTTATTAAAGCAAACTACACGCAAAGTCTAGTGAAAATTTGATCGATGTGAATATTTGTCGTCATAATTTTCAGTTTATTATTTGGCTCACGAAAATTTATGTCAGCACCAACATTTAGAGTTATATAACAGATATAATCTTAGACCCTTGCATCTTGCTAGTTGCTTAATATAGGGGACAAAAGTTAGAGGGGACTTAAGAACCTCGAACTCGAGTTTTGCATGTGAGAATCCTCTTCAATGGAGACTTTGGCTCCAATTAAACTTTTGAGCCTAGGAGTCCCAACGAGCAGCAATGGTGCCCAAGTTGAGATAGACTCAATCCCCATACTTAGTGTTCAAAACTCGATTTACGTCGATCATGTATTAATTTCATACCGGAGCTTGACTCGAATAAAAAGTTGAGTTTTATATATAAATATGTGCACACGAGTGCGCACGCGTATGGCTAGGGATGTCTATGCCTAATTTTATAATATTATTTTTTTTAATTAGGTTCAAAAGTTTGTTGAGCTAGAGTATTGACAAGCTCGAGTTTCAATTTGACACGACGCGCGAGTAGTTTGAGCTAGAGCTTGAGTAGAAATCAGTTGAGACGTTCTCAAACCATCGTCAACCCAAGCTTGAACAACTCGCGAGATCTTGACTTAGTTTCACTCCTAGTAGGTCTTCACATATGCTCGTAGAGAAAGGAGTAGGGTATACGTCGGGTGTAGGTAGAAATTTTCCCCAACTCGACTGGCATAACAAGCGATCATATCTTGTGCTAGCACAAACTGGCTATAATACGTAAATTCTCATTTTAATGTACAAGGATATGAGAGAGCGTGGTTTGCCACGGCGTCAACAAGGTCGAATTGTATAATATATATGCCCAAATTCACCAATTAAACAGAGGAGCAAAAACCTTCTGATTAAATGAAGATTCAACCAAGATCCTAAGTCACTTCATTTGGAAATAACAAAGGCTCTTAAACCTAAAAGAATTAATGCCCGAGGATCCTATGAGAAAGGAGCCCTTTTTATACCCAACTCAATTTATGAGTTTCTCTACATTAAACGAAAGAGAAATAGAGGGGAAGACAGTGAGTGAACACTATCATCAAATCATGTCCACAACGCACAAAATCGCAGTCCTGCTCATGGTACCTTCACACTGGCTTTATATCATAAGAAGTGACCGGGATTTGACTTTTCTGGGCAAGGTATGCAATGGAGAGCAGTTCTACGATTGAGACGAGTATGCTGTGGCATTGTACGCTGGAGGTGTCAAAATTGAATTGAAAAATCAAACCGAGATACGAACTGAACCGAATTGAATCGAATAAAAAATTTTGTGCATCTTGATTCGGTTCAATTTTTTGTTTAGATAATAAAAAATAACCATTCTTTTTTTTCAATTAAAAAAGGATGTATATATATAAATAGTAGTGTTTCCAGATAATCTCAACCTGAGCTTCGGCAACCGGATAAGCTCTTGTAAAATACCAGGCGACATCCATCCCCTCTGCGCGCGGCGGAGACGGGCGAAACGAAGGACGCAAGCGAGAGCGACGGCAAAATGGAATTCGAAAGGCAGCGACGAAGTGGAAGAGGTCAGAACAAAGCAAAAAATCGACGAACGTGTTTGGAACGACCTGATGATGGTTCAGCAGCCACGGCGCCGTGAGCTCGAGATGGCCCGGCGACAGATGAATCTGGTCCAGACGTGTACGAAGGACAAGGAGAGGGGAAACACTTTGAATTAGAGAGGAATTAGTAACGGCGGGATGGCGTCGCTGCGACTTGAACTATCTTCGAAAGGATCGTCGTTCATTGTTTAGCCGCCCACCACGACGGTCGAATTTGACCACGGAGTTTCCCGGTCGTTGAACGTGCCGCGTCTTCCGAGCAGAAGGTGTTCGATGAATTGCGCAAGAGAGAAACAGAGAGTGGTGCGATTCTGAAACAACAAGCAGAGGAAGATGTGCCTGGAGAAATCTCCACAGACAGCCGGTTCCTCGCGACATTCGAGCGATAACGGAGTCCATCAATCAAAACTCGCACTTGCCAGGTCGTTTCCATCTCCGATTGAACTCTAGAATTACTTTCGATTCATTCCAGATTTGTCCGTTGATTTCTGTTTCGGTTTGTTTTCTCCCATCCTCTCGCCGTCTTCCGACATTCCATTGCCGTCGGTTGCACTGTAGCGGAGGAATTGCAAGGAAGGTGTTTGATGGGATGACGACGCTGGACTCTCTTTTGAAGAAAACCTGTTCAAGAGAGAGAATCAGCGAGCTTTATCTGGTGGTGAGAGCAAGTTCAAGTTCGAGAGAGCAAGATGTTGTCGATTCTAAGATGAAAAGCCACTGCCGGAGGGCTCGGATGCTGTGTTGTTGGGAGAGAGGTTGTGGAAGAGTTGTGCCGCAGCGACGCGGTTCGTTACAGGGTTATGCTGCGGCGCCGAAAGAGATGACCGTGAGAAAGGCTCTGAATGCTGCTCTCGATGAGGAAATGTCTGCAGATCCTAGTCTCTTTCTAATGGGTGAGGAGGACGGAGAATACCAAATCGCCTTACAATCACAGAGGCTGGTTTCACTGGAGTTGAAGTGGAGTTTATGACATTCAATTTCGCAATGCAGGCAATTGACCACATTATAAATTCTGCTGCAAAGATGAACTACATGTGGGCTTGCAATATATCAGTCCCTATAGTTTGAAGAGGAGCTGCAGCAGGAGTTGGTGCCCAACATTCCCAAGCCCTGCGAAGACGTCGCCATCCCACCTGGAGGATTGTCCGTGGCGTACAAAATAAGAGTTGCTCATGAACTGTGTAACATCTCCAGTATGTTCCTCCGACCAAAGTTGTTCCTCATCCTCTGCTTTTTCAGATTTGCTATCACAAATTTTTTAATGCAGTGTGTTAGTCGCGTTAATTGAATGCGTTTATCGTCGAGGAGTTGATAGTTTGCATGGTCGCAAATTTAATTGGTGTTTGCTCAAGTCTCGTTTTCAGTTGCTACTATGACGGTATCAACACAAGCACAGAACAATGAGATATACATGACACATATGCTCAATATAATAACGTTGGTGCAGGATGGGACCGTTGTTATTACTGATTAACTCAGCTTGTAATGTTTGGTATTTAGCCTCAGAAAGCCTTTTTTTTTTTTGGTAAGGTAAGATATGGCCTCAGAAAGCTTCATGTCTCCTTTGTCCTTTTCCTGCCTTCTTTTGTTTGAAAGGGTAAGCATTCATTCGCAAATTCTGGACATGCTCCTCTTGTTTCAAAGTAGTAATTGCTTTTGCTATTCAATGACTCTTTACCCTCATAAACTTTGATCAGTGACCTATTGTTGCATAGCTTAACCGCTGTTCTCAAAATTTGTTATTCCATTTGGTAACAAGGGTAATTAGTTGATGATTCAGTCGTGTTGAATTTGATTTGTTAATTATGTGCTCTGGTGTTCCAGGAGTTGAATAAAGTTTTATGTGGATCTGCTTTGCTTCATGGTTATTGGTATCAATAGTATGTGCTGTTTCATTCTGTTATAGTACAGTGTAGGAAATTGGTGAGCTCCTAAAGCTCACTCCTAGGCAACGTCGTCATTGATTGTTAGGCCATTTGCTGCATTTGTTTCTCTTGTATACATGTATCTTGTGATGGCAAATTAGCATAAAGACTCTCTGGAAAGACAAATCATGGAGATGTGAGGAAGTATCTTTGTGGATTTTTTTATGCTACATGGGGGGAAAAAGCACATGGTTATGTAGAGATATCGGAGTCACGAGTAAGTGATAAGCCATCAAAGATATTATTTGTGATTGATGTCTATCAAGAAGCTGTGACTGATGCCTTTCTCTCGCGAATGCCGGCCAACTGGCAGAGAAGCGACGTCCCTCTGGCCTGTCCATGGCTCCTAATGAGCTTCACTGGCCACAATTTGTACAAATACCGAAGAGTTGATATTTGTTTGTTTTCTGTTGCTAGGCGAATCCAACTAGAACACCCTGGACGTGTACATATTTTGAACAGCCAATACATGAAAATTGTTAAATTGAACATGAGAAATGTGTGATGATTTAAGCTCACGATCTCAGCAGGCTATTGGTATGACATCACGGGATCACTAGGTTGAGAAAGGGATGCTCCAAATCAATGTCGCTGGCCAATTCAGGAGATGTGAGAGGCCTTGAAAGTGTAGGACCATGAAAATCCGGCGTAGAATGGCTCCCTCTGCATGTAGAATGTTCGATCCCACCTGTAGTGAAACATGAGAACTAAAATTGTTCAAAAAGTCTAGCTGGCGTCACGTGGTGCTTGCATGTAGAATGTTCGATCCCACCTGTAGTGAAACATGAGAACTAAAATTGTTCAAAAAGTCTAGCTGGCGTCACATGGTGCCTAGCTGGCGTCACATCATCGTTATAACATCTCCAATTAGACATGTAAGACACTGCATCGATATAACATGCAAAAATTGTTCAAAAAGTCTTCATAATGTATTGATTGCAAAATAATGTTAGTGCATTGGGCGATCGAAATCAAAATTTAGTGACTTAATTGTACAAAATGACTACATATGAAATTTACCCAACTCATGGAAAAATCTCATTTGTACACCAATTTGGTAGACTGATTGTTTAGACCAAGCACTTTTCATACCATCAGCCACATTGACCATCAGGTACAATGCAACTCTAAGATATTCCCACATATAGTAGGAGGGATTTTTTCATTCTAGATGGATTCCATATTGAACGTGAAACTAGCTTAGCACAGAAAATATAGAGACAAACTGAAGTTATTTGAGGAATTGCAAAACTTATGTCCCGAGGTTTCCTCAAGTGGAGATTTTTGTCTCTTGGAGTCCTTGAGTGAAAAGAAACGAAAATAATAATGGTTCAATAGGATCAAAACAAAAACTTGCATCTTCAAGCAAACGTCAATAGACGTGAGATTAGCGAATAAATCCACGACACTAAACACTCCATAATTTACGTTGTTGAATGTGCGTCCAAGAGATAAATGAAAGAAAGACAGAGATACGAAATCTATATTCTCATTACTAACTTCACGGAGTATCAAAGCCTTTGTCCTAGGCTTCTTATCTACTTGCTATGCCATTGGAGGTGATCCAGATACAACCATGACCAACAAAATCTGCAATAACGATGAGTACATGCCATGGGATGGTTTCGCGAATGCCCGACGTAACGTCCCGAATGAACTGAGTGCCAAAACGGCAAATAACTGGATACAGTTACTACAGCAAATTCGAGGATGGCAAGGAGTCATTTAATGGCCACGAAGCGTGCAACGGGGCATTGAGCAATCCGGATGGTACTGCATGCATGAGCAAAGCGCGGGATCGAATAAAAAACGAATGCGGACAGGGCACCGCGGTCCATATCCAACTTCGGGATTGTAGAATTAGGCACGAGAAACACTTATTCTCATAATGATGGGAGTGTTTCCTGTGAAGAATAGTCGGAGCCTTGGACAAAAGCATATATTTTTATGAAGCCTAGTTGATTAGTTGTTTCCTTCCTTGATATAGAAGGACCACGCGACTGGTGAGTACGCATGTCATGTGTCAACAAACATAAAACAAAATCCGTAGGATTAAGGCAAATAATCCTTTAATGTGTTATTGTATACTTTATATACATATAAAGGTATAAAGCACGTTTATCTGAGACCTTGTCTAAATTAGGATTCAAGCAATTAATCGTTGATTACTCCATGTTTGCTTTAAGAAGAGGAAATTCATTTATCATGATGTTAATTTCTGTCGATGACATCTTGATAACCAAAAATGACGTTGGGTTAATTTTCTAATTAGAGGAAATTTAAATAGGAATCTCAAATCGAAAGACCTAGGGAAAATTAAAATATTTCTACGGAAATGAAGTTGCGAGAAATAAACGTGGAATTTTCCTTTCAAAAATGAAATCAAACACTGTTCATTGAAGCGAGAACACACCGCAGACAGCAAGCAAACCCACATGATTTACAAAAGTGAATTTAAAGCCGTCAATTCAACAAACGAGCAATCTAAAGACAGAAGTGCCTTCCCAAAAGTACTATGGACAGGAACAAACGACATAATCAACACTAATCAATATGAGCAACAACAATAAGAGACGAATGAATCGATATCGAGTCGGATTCAAGAAGGATGCTCTCGCCTGTATACTTATGTGTCCTACCTGAAACTCAAAAAGCGAAACCTCAACATGAACTAATAGCATGGGATTGGCTAAGTATGACATAAGAAGGCACGGCAAAGCGATCATCTTATCCAATAATGTATCATTAGAAGTAATCCTACTGCTAGAATTACTAGGAATACTACCTCAAATCGAGCTCCACGCCAAGGACATCTAGGAGGGATGGGGCGACAGGAGCCCAATGGTGGGTCGATTGTGGCCGGTAGACGGCAAGCGGATAGACTTGTTTCCGCGAGAGAGATCGATGTATTCTCGATTGTGAGTTGTGATCGATTATCGATGGAGCCGAGGAAAAAAAATCACTAAAAATCTCAAACTATGCTCACTGTGACACATTTATCCTAAATTTTTTTTTATGATTGACCTCCAATTTGGAGAGTTTGCTTTTACATGGAAAAGAACAAAATATTGGACAGGGAAGAAAAACGGGACACCGAAAATCTCAAACTTGTACATGTGTGATATATTTACCCTCCGTCAATATTCTGCTGATGAATACCGTTAAAAATCTACCTACATGGACGAGGGAAGGCAAACGGTGGCTTACATGAAATCAAAACGACATCGATTTAATTGAAAAATCATCTGATGGAATCTTGACGGGAGAGTAAATTGATCACACATGTACATTTTTTGGGATTCTCGAAGTCAAAAAGAAAAAGTTCAGAGTAAATATGCCATAATGGACATAATTTTGGATTTCGGACGTCACAAAAAAATTTAAGGTAAATATGTCATAATGAATATAGTTTGGAGTTTTTTTATGAGTTTAAAAAAAATTGATGATGAGGAGGAGTTGGTGGATGAATCTTCCTCTCAACGAATGCCATCTTTTGTGCAGGTCTTCCTTTGACCGACTTCTTGTGAGCTCTCTATTTTCTTTTGCGTCTTTTTTTTTTCTATTTCTTATTTTATTTTATTTTATTTCAACACTTTTACTTCCATCTCATCCAACAACAACCACCGGTTCTACCCCAAAAATCCGAATGAAACTCCACCGCCTCGCTTTGCACCCTCATTCTCTCCTTGTTTTCCTCTTCACGCTCCTCCGCCTATTCTCGTCTCCGACGATGACGACTCTCAGATTGGCCTCGGCTGCCGCCGTCGATTGATGCCGATGATGATCCCATCCCACCTCAGCCTTGGCAATCGGATGAAGCTCTTGTCCACACCAGCCCGCATTCCCCACTTTGCGCGCGGCGGAGACGGGGGCGGCGAAATGAAGGACGCAAGCGGCGGCGGCGGCGATGGAATCCGAAAGACGGGGATGGAGTGGAAGAGAACAGGACAAGGCAAGAATCGACCAACGTATTTGGAATGAATCGAAAATTAACTCGAAAGGTCAATCGGATATGGAAACGACCTGACGTGATGACGGTTCAGCAGCGATGGGGCGGCGTGAGCTCGAGATGGCCCGGCGGCAGATGAATCTGGTCCAGACATGTGCGAAGGACAAGGAGAGGGGAAAGACTTTGAATCAGAAAGAGCTTGACGATAGTGATGGTGGAGACGGTGAGCTTGAGAGAGAAAATAATAATGGAGGAAGACATTGTTGAAAAAATGAAGATGGACGGAGAGAGAATGGAGAGAGATGACTCCGGTTGAATGAAGGGGGATTGATCTCTAGCTGATGATGATTCACTGCAACCGCGAATGCAGCACCACCCAGCGATTCATGGAGATCGAACTCTCTCTCACGATTGTCGCTTCGCAACGGTGCGAAGATGTGGCTTGCCTCGTCACTGTGACGAGATGAAGAGCTTCAATTGGCGCTACTCCGCACTTCCCGTCGCTACCCGTCGCCTATCGCAGATCTCCTTCCCATCGCACTGCCTATCTTCAAAGGGATCGTGATTCATTGTTTAGCCACCACGACAGTCGAACTTGACCTCTGAGCAGCAGGTGTTCGGTGAATTGCCCAAGAGAGAAACTGAGAGCGAGACGATTCTGAAACAACAGGCAGAGGAAGATGCGCCTAGACAAATCTCCACACCCAGCTGGTTCCTCGTGACATTCAGGCGATGACGGGATTCGTCAATCAACACTCAACAGTCGAACTTACCGGGACGTTTCATCGCCGATTGAACTTTCGATTCAATCCAACTCTGTCTGTTGATTTCTGATTCACTTTTGTGTCCTCCCATTCTCTCGCTGGCTTCCAAATTTCCATAGCCTTCGGTTGCGCACTGTGGAGCAGAAATCGAGTCCGCAAGGAAGGTGTTCGATGGAAAGATGAAGCCGGGCTCTGTTTCAAAAGAACACCCGTTCGAGATCGAGATCGAGAGAGAGAATCAAGCGAGCTTTATCCTGTGGTGAGAGCAAGTTCAAGATCGAGAGCGCGGGATGTTGTCGATCCTAAGACGAAAAGCCACCGCCGGAGGAGGCGTGGATGCTGCTGTGTTGTGGAGAGAGAGGTCGTGAAAGAGTTGCGCAGCAGCGACGCGCTTAACAGAGTAATGCCATTGCGGGGAAAGAGATGACTGTGAGAGTGGCATGGCCCGAGTGGTAAGGCGGGGACTAAAAATCCTTTTTTCCCCCATTTAAACAATGAGGAGTTTAGTAGACATTGGTGTAAACATTTCTTTGATTTTTTTGTTGGTCGAGGAAAATTTCTTTAATTGACTAACCATGAAAAGATGTAGCATAGATTGAAAATTGCTTTGCCATGCATATCATGATTTAATTCAACAAAATAAATTCTGAATGCTCTTCCCTTGAGAAGAAACTAATAAATTCCAATTTGCGCCTGCATGCGAAAAAACTAAAATCGTAAAATCTTCAAGAACTCGAAAAGAATCTGATGTAAGCTCACCGGAGCTTGTAAAACCATGGGCTGCGCCTTGAAATTCTGAGTCAGGTATATGGCTTAAGGGAAGTGTATTCATACGTTACTACACATTACATCAACGTTAGCAATCAGCTTCGTCCGTCTCATGACTCCTGCCCACATAGCGCCCGCTAACGCTAGGATCAAGGAAAGGTATCATACACATTCAGAACCATTCCATTCATTAGAACAGAACTCCACGCTTTTATCCGATTTGCCGAGTCACAAGTGCACTTTAGCCTAGCAATTCTGAAGTTATGTTCTCCCCTAATGTGACCTAAAGGATGCTTCCTCTGCTATGTCCTTCTGCATAGTATTATTCACCTAGGTCGTATCAGTGGTTCTGAAGATGGATTCTCCGAATACGATATCGTCCCTTCTAATGAGCTCGAACACGTATATCTTCCCCCCTTCAGTTCAGAGAAGTTTCTCTCGTGAATGTGGCACAACTGGCAGATAACTTTCCACAATGTTCATGGCTGATGAGCTTCATCGGCAAAGATTTGTCTTGAAATATGAGAGCCATGGTCTGCGGACTTTTCTTGATGTGCGTCTTTGAAAATGAACCAGGAACTCTCTGCTCAAGTAGATGTTTCGCAATTTTTGTCATCCGAAAAAAGTAAACAACCAATGATTTCTGAGGAAGACAGTACATGTCAAGGATAAAAACATAAACTATTGACACAATGCATGATTAACCTACAGCTAGCATAGTCCAGCAACTATATGTGATTTAAATTCAAGAGTTGTCATTGTCATGAGGATCTTACCACATTGCTTTTCTTCAGATATATCCACCTCACCGCAATTTGGAAGAAAGGATACTCAGGTTTAAATGTGCTGGCCGGTTCGAGAGCTTTGCACAAACCCGTCTCTTTCAGCTTTACCTGCAGCAGTCGCAAACAGAACATGAAGCAAGCTTTAGCTCTCTAGGAATATACTATTCTTGTCATGTGAAACTCATACCTACCAACATAGCAACGCTAGATCAATAGATCTGAGTCTTTCTAACGGTCTAGCTTCCAAGGCCTATTTGCACACCAAATTCATTTTCAGCACAATCAAAATTGATATGACCGGTTTGGCTTGTTTCCATTGGCTTGACATTTATGAGATCCTCCAGCACATGCATACGCACACATGGGAGAGCTAGAGACAGAGAAACACCACGAGGAGGAATTAGCTCTAACAAATTCACTCTTAGTCTAACGACATGGAGAGTTCCTGTACAAAATTCAAATCAAACATGAGAACAACACAATCAAGGGGAGAATTAGCTAGTAGATTAAGATACACACCTTGAAAATCTCATGATGAGCAGTTCGAACTTCCGTCTCTCCCCAAACCCCGTGCTGATGATTATACACAATAACGGCCATGAACTTCGCAAACCTGATGAGATTACTTGCCTTACAAAGTTGAGGACACTTGGGTGAATGCAATTCACTTTCTGCGAGACAAATCCACAATTGTCGAGGCCTGGTTCCTCATATCAGCATTTGTTGGCAGATATTCTATCTCAGATGTGCAATAATCAATGATTACATGGAAAATGGAGTGCCCTTCAGATTTGAAGACCAACAATTGGCCCCCGCAGATAGAGTAATGCTCTACAAATTCATTCCAACCCTTTGTTAGCCAAACCATTTCATCACGTTCTTCCAATTCCACAGGCCAAATAATTGCACCATCCTCTCAGAAGCAAGTTTTTGAGAGATTCTCACCATATTTTCTCATAAACCTCTTTGGTATTCCCTATGGGAAAAATAAAACCCATAATCTCAATAAGCCTATGAGACTTGATTTCAAATTAAAAATGAAGAAGAACATAACAAGAATGCATAAACCAAAAAGGACATGTTGAAGCACATCCCTTTCGGTTCATTCAGATTTGGAATGTGGCATTAATGAGTGTGCATCTGGATTATTATCAACCTCATAAAGCCAGTAGGCATAGAGGTACACTTCCTTGATTCATCAAGACTATAAAGGAGTTATTACTTGGAATACTGAATTCATTTTGGACCAGCCAGAGTGACAATTCCAGAGTTCATCCTGATCAATGTAAATCAAGTCCTAACCAGCACAATTGAATATGTAGACTCTGAACACAACATCCCTATCAATGAGTTTCTACATGCAGACGTGACTTTCTCTTGCAAATGTGGGCCAACCAGCAGAAAAGAAACCCACCCCCAAACATATCGCATCCATAGCTCCTTAGCTTCACCGTCCATGACCTGTCTGATTACCTAAGAGCCGCAATTTGCTTGATTTCCCGAATATGTTGCATGATGAATTGAACAGAAGCAGACTGCCCTTGTACATGGTTGAAAAACCAACATATGGTGAAAAACAGACCCAAACATAAATAAGCATACCCTAATGAGAGAATCAAATCATGCGCAGCATGAGTTTAAGGCATTACTTGCTAGTTTCAGGAGACCATATGATGAAAGTCATCCATCCAAGTCAAATGTCAAAATCTATGCTCCTAGAGTGCAATATGGTACACACTCAAAAGAAGCCTTCCATGTCCTATATATATTTAAAACACATGAATTTCAGCCACACAGACTACAAGCGCAGGGGAAAAAGCAAATACGCCAACGACCAGAACATGGATAGAATCGAAAATTTAAACTTAAGCAGTTTGATTCTTTCAAGTGTTGCTCAAATAAGGTTTTATCAAACTATTGGTTCAATTTGAAAAACTAAAATTATCTCCTTGTTTTCCCCAAATCCGATTAATATAACACAATGCAACAGCATCTCTTATTTGACAATAAAATTATCAGTCATTAGATCTACAATGAAATTTCAGAATCATAACAAGCCACCCCCCTTATCTTTTAGGCCTTTCTCTTTAGTTATACGGAGGCAGCAACATTTTTTGCAATTTGCCTGTCCATATCAACATATAGTCTCCTTGTGCGATTTACATATATATTCGACTTCTACGACATTGAATAGCATTGTCAAAGAGGGACGCCCAATGTCCGTCACAAATGCTTTGAACACGATATCATCTCCATCGATGAGCTCCAACACGCAAGAAATCTCCTACGCAGACGTGTTTCCATCACAAATGCTTGCCAACCGGCAAAGAAGAACGCCACATGCTCGTGCTTTTAGACTCAAATGTGGAACGAATTTGAAAGACAGAAACCCTAGCTGAAGAAGACAACGATTGAGACCCGAAAGTCGGAAGAAATTTTGGGAGACCGGAGAAATGATGGGAGAAGGGAGAAGCGTGAACTTACGAGCTTGCCGGATTCAAGTTCGTCCAGGCTCGGCGGTGCGATCTCCGGCATCGCACTTTCGTCTTCTCTCCGGCGGCGACGACGACGAGAAACCATGATGATCTTCTTCAGGGAATGGTGGGAGGGAGCGGCGCACTGTTGAGCTTTGTCGCAAGAAAAAAATCGTTTCTTTTTTGGGATAAATGTTTCAGTGCGGTGATGGAGGAGGGGAGATCGATGGGGGCTGATGATGCTGATCACACGTGGCTGCCATTTTACCTTTCTCTCTCTCTCTCTCTCCATTTGCGCCACCTGCCCTCCCCTTCATCAGTGACAAGAAAGTTGAAAAGATAATAAAATGTAAAAACTTATGGTGCTGCAAAAATAATAATAATAATGATGACGGAGGAGAATGACATTAATTGGATCTTACTAATTTTATGTGCATTTGTCTATGCTGATAACTTTTGTATGGTTGCATTGAGATCACCCTCCCAGTCATAACGCCATTTGTATCTGAATAGTGACGCAGTAGATAGTTCTGGCGTGCTTAGCGTACCCTTAGAAAATATTTTCATTTTCGGGCACTCTTCCACTTCAATCTCCTCCAAGGATGGGAACCTGAAGCTGCAACTTGTGGCGGAGGAGAAGCATTCTAGGCTCGGCAGATTTTGGAGTGTCAACCTACCTAACTTCTCAAGAGAAATCACATTTCCTTCTCCGTTTTCATCGTTCGCCACTACTTCTTTCATTTTTTCACATCCTATTATAGTCATATCGATGAGATGCACCAAATTTGTGATCGCCGAAACTGTTACCAGATGTACCAATCCAGAGGAATTCTTCACCACTAACTTCGTCAAATTCTGGAAGGATATCACAGTTGGAAATATTGTTGTCAAACAAGGACAATCCCAAACCTCAAATGTTTCGATACTGCGAAGAATTTTCGCCATTAAGTAGTCTTCGCTCCACACACGTTGTAAGTTATGCAGCTTGCTCAACTTAAGTTCTCTTAGATTTTCAAGCACCGGATGTTTTCCCTCATCAATAAGCCCTTCGTCAAGTAATATATCTTCAAAGGAGCAACAAAAGATCTCAAGGTTTTGTAAATTCTGAAATCTCTCTAAGAGGAATCTGGAAGGAAAGATGGCACTTTCATCATGAAAGCATGCCAATGTTAGCGCTTTTGGCTTGCCAAAGATATCATCGGGAAATTTTCCATCTCGTATCATTTGAACATCTTTATCGACTAATAAAAGTCTCTTTGAGTTGGGAAAGTCCTGTCAAATTGAATACAACGAGAGAAGTAAATTCAGCAAAGGTTGGGCCATAAATCATTTGTTGTAAGATGTAAACCTACTTCGATGATTCACATGGAAGGTGGCCATCTTCTTACATTTCATCAAATCAAAAGATCCCTACATACAATCTCAAGCTTTTAAAAGCCTCAAGTAGAGGTTGGTATGGTTATGTTGGTAGAGTGAATCTAAATTCAAGAGCCCTTCAACTGACCAAATTTATCTTTTATTAGAAATATCTTATCTTGTCAACAAAAATTTGTCATCTTTGGAATTTTATGTAATGGGATGCACTCAAAATGTTAGTAAAATGTTTTGGGTCCACAGGCTTAAAAGTGTGCTTAAGATATAAGACATATCTTAAGTCGTCTTCAAACTCATAGGTAAGGGGTTTCAGGTTTTCTATAGTATTATAATATGACGACTATGCAGTGGACAGGGGAATTAACAAAAACAATAGAAAATAGGGCATTAAGGTACTAATGCTATTTTTGTTTTGAAAAATTTGTTTGAATTGATTTTTTAGAGTTTGTAGAAGATGAATTAGAGAAGAAACACGTGTCAACAAAAATCTTTAAATATTTTTGTAATTCTAGGTAATGGAATATCTTATGGGTGTCCGCAAATGAAAAGTATACTTAAGATATTAATAATATCTTAATGTTGTCGACAAACTAATAAGCAAGGGAGATCATATTTTCTATAGCATTATAACGTGACGTGATTATGCAGTGGATATAAGATTAGTGAACGATTTAAAGAACAAAGTAGAAACTGAGGGAGAGCAGCTGTAAACATACCCTCTCAAATGAAGACTCTGCTTCTTGGTATGAAAGGTCCTGTTGATCATCTCTTTGAGCCCAATTGGTCATGGATGTTGCAAAGGACAACGTGTTCAGTTTGTCACAGTGCGTCACTCGCAATTCCTCCATGAATGGCCAATTCAAAGTGGGGAAATTAGGGCAAAAGCTCTTGACCCGTGACATATCGTGTAACACTAGAGAGGTTAGTATCGGGAAAAGAACTTGAGCAATATTGGAGTGTGGAGTGTCATCTCCACTAGCGACTATTTCCTCGATCCCACAACACTCCACTCGAAGTTTCTTAAGTTGGGTAAGACTTGTAGCCACCCAATGCGGAAACAAATTTTCAAGGCTCTTACAATTTTGAACCTCCACTTCCCCTAAATAGTCAAAAGTGAGAGTTTCTTGAGGACCGTTGGTCCATATTTTGCTTAAATTGTCCATGTGGGAGAGAACCATCGACTTAAGTTGAGGAAATTGTACCTGCCATATTGAAAAAAATGACACAATGAATGTGATTACATCGAGTTATGACCTCAAAGAAGGAATTTTCAAAACTTCCCTCGCTCTCACAAATCATGAGAATGCACGAGCTTCTTAGTGATATAAACAAGGAGGGGCTAATTGATGCTTTCATTTCATTCAGTTGATTGATGAATAAGGCCAAGTATATTGCATTGCAACAAGCATGAAATGATAAATGCATTTATAATCAATAGTACATTGAGCATTAGCTTTTAAGTGGCTTGATTGACATTTAATCTAGCAACGCCTTATCAGTTATCCCTTTAATTCTCGGAAAGTTGTCATGATGACTTCTCCGATTCTCGAACTTTCATGTTTGCTGATCACAAATAGAAGAAGGCCATTTTACTTGAGTGCTTAGGTGAATATTAAGAAATAGAAAGGTGCTTGCACAGATCATTATCAAAGTTTAGAGCACTCCTAGATGAACATCCAATTTGTCAGATTTGTTTGCAGTGGTCATTATTAAAGTTGCTTGAATTGATCTTTTGATAATGCAACATTAGATAAGGTAAGAATCTATTAGATTTATTTGCTTCAAGGTGAAATGCATCACAAATGGAGAAAAAGCAAGGGCATGGTGATGACGAGCCATGAGCGTGCAGAGAGTTTGAGCAGCATATATACTGATGAAGGAATGAATGAAACCGAAGCATGGCTCCACATTATTTCCTCCATTTACTATCAGCACGTTACTTATTCAACACTAATACTAATTGCAAACATTACTTACAAATCTTCTAATGAGTAAGTTCACTAATGAGAAGCGTTATGAAAAATTGATGGCAAACAAGAGTAAAAAAGAAAACTAACTTCAATTGTTTACCAGTTTTTTCTTCATTATGTACAGTATTTTTTGTATTGAAAGAAAATAAATTCGTAAAAGGCACGGGCAACGTAATGACTTCAATAAATAATGTATGTTAAGATCTCAGGAAAAGCAAATTGGGTCAAATTTACTAGTTCTACGTTGGACAATTAATGACTTGCTTGAAATAATATTTATTAACTTTTGAGGTGGAAAAGTGAAAACAGAATCTTGCGGTGGGCCAGTGATCCAACCGCTGGCAAAAAGTGTGTAATAGGTAACCAATTTGCGTGGAGGCAAAACCAGAAGAAGAAAATAAAAAAACAAAAGTGGATGACCATATTATGTTTGGTTGGAATTAACCAACTGTGCTTTTTTTCTGACCCAAAAAAAAACTGTACTTCTTTTTACCGTTTTATGGCCTCGACGAATTGTCCATTGAGAAGAAAGTATTGATATTTTTCATTTGGTTACAATAAAATTAACGCAGTTACAATTTGTCACAACGAAAAACCAGAATGACTTTCCACACTTCCCTAAATCTATTAATATTCTTAATTGAGGATTTTGATGAGTTTTTGAAATTAGCTAACCATGTGGGAGATGTCTATTATTACATGACGGCTCATATTTGACACAAAAACGAAATTAACGCTATCACAACTTGTGACGACCAAAAAATCAGACAACTATTTTCATACTTTCCCAAATTCATTAGTATTCTTGATTGAGTGTGATGGTGCCTTATTGAAATATCCTCAGAATGTGGGGATGCCTATTATTACATGACAGCTCATACATATAGATGACATTAGAAGAAAATAAATAATTAGTGACAACTGTTACCATTAAGAAGAAAAAATGTGTGAACATTCTACTTGCAAGTAACAATAGAAAAAATTGCGCAAAAGCATTAGAATAACAAAAACACACAAGCATTTTCAAAAGAGAAAGCAATAATCGAAATTTGTAAGGAAACTGTAACGAAAAAGTCCAAAAAGCCGGGGGGAGGGGGGGGTCACTTGATCAATTGGTTTGTGTTATTTGCCTTTTTAAGAAGTGTTGTAAACTAAAATAAATTTGGTAAAGATATAAGCTTGTAATTCACTTAATCAATCAAAATGAATTTGAAAATTGATTTTTATTCTTCGAAAAATAAGACGATGGTGGCTACTTGTATATTCCTTATTATTCTACTTTGATAATAACCTCTCCTCAATTTTGTCGAATGGATAAATTAATCATAGGATTTTAAAATTGTATTTGTTTGTATTTTATAAAAAAAATTATCATACAATATATTTAACAAGTGTCTCGATTAACAATCCTTATTAACTTAGGTTAATATCAGGCATTTCAGGTGCTTGAGGGGTCATCATTTATTGCGTTTAGTCTTCGTGAGACGGAATGGTAGTGTTGATTGGATAATTTATTCCTTTTTTTTTTATGTAGCTAGGACATTGACCAAATATTGTTACCTAGTTATGAAGTATGACTTGCAATGTCGGCAACCGCCCACTGAATGTCTACTAAATATTATCCAGCTGTCATTTTCTCTCTTTTGTTTTTTCCTTTTTACTTTTCCAGAAAAAGTAATCTACCTTTTCTCTTCCCAAACATAGATTGTCCGCATTATCACACTAATTATTACTAAATACAATAATCCAAAATTACTAATTATTGTAAAACACAGTTTCGTAATTTGATAGGCTATTCAAGTACAGTGATTCAAGTATGATTTACGAACGTAAAAGACGAACCGCTTCATGCATATCGACCTTTTTTATTTTTATTTTTTTTATTTATCAAGACATGGTCAAGCATGGGTGAATATTAAGAAATAAAAAGTTGATTGCATTGATCATTATCGAAGTCTAGAGCACTCCAATTAAAAAGAGCCACTCTCTCTAATTCCTCCAATTTCATCGCTTGGGAAGATGATTATGGTACAATGATCAGTAATAGCTAAGCAATTTGTGAAACTGGGTTTTTCCAGTTATGAAGCTTTCTTTTCCCCCTTTCTTCATGTTCCATAGAACGACGCGAGTTTGCTTTTGCGCAAGAAAATATGAAGTGGCAATACGGACATCTTGTTTTTGCCATTTTTAGATGCTATTCTATGTTTAGTGCTTTATAGTTCAAACTGTAAAACGTAAATGTTTTTATGTGCTTATTGTGATAACTTTTTAAGAACCTCGTTAATTAATTCTAGAGTATTGCGCATGATATGATTTTATGAGCCGACACAAGACTAACACTTCTAAAAAGATATGGAGATGTACAATTAATAGTTATATTTGCTGAGGATAAGAGAATTGTTGATCTCTGTACTAAAGATTTAAAGATTAATTATGTACATAAATCCGTAGAAAGCACGGGAATGCTGCTAGTTATTATACATTTATTTATAATTAGATGATTTTGAATCCGTAGATATGTACCAATGTCTGAATTGTTTTGCATTAAAAATTTACGGATGTGATCATGGACTCCTGTGGGGAGGTAAATATTCTATACATCTTTGTTCAGGTATGAAACACGAGTCCCCACTAAATTCGAGCAAAGCATTGATGACTGGTATTACGAACATTTATATCTAGCATTTTTGTCCAATTCTACGAGAATATGTTGCATACGAAATGCCAAAAATGCATTAGCTTGAAAAGACTGACCTGTGGAGTGAAAAGCGAAGGGGTGCCGCGGTCAATCCTCATCAAAGATTGCCAAGTCAAACTTTTCATCTTGGGGCAGTGGGCAATGGTCAACTCTTCCAATTTGGGACAATCCAGCGTATGATTCTTTCCCAAGAGGAAACTAGTCAAATTGGGCAAGCATTCCAGCGTCAAGTATTCCAAATTTGGGAATGTAATCTTCTCCACGGTGCTTCCCTGCCCTTCTTCGTCTGTGATCACTCCTTCCATCTGACCACACTCCTTTATTTCAATTTTCCTTAGATGGGCAAGGCACCGAGCCATCGATGGAGTGAAAGCATGTCCCAAGTTGCTGCAACTATAAAGAATGAGAACACCTAGAGAATCGAAGCGCAACGATTCTTGAAGATCTTTGTTCCATAGTCGTCTCAACTTTGGTAGATTGACCAAGTTCAATTCATCTAGCCGAGGCAGCACCCGAGTGCTTTCCATAGCCTCTAGCCCTTCCTGATTGAATATTTCTTCTAGTGACTCGCAATCGCGCACTTGCAAAAAGCGCAAATTGTCTAAAACAAGCATCAATTTGGATGGAATTGCTTTAATAAATGATGGACATTTATCCACCGTCAATGATTCTAATTGCCAAGATGACTTGATGGGATTAAGTTCGCTATGCCATTTTCCAATCAGATCGGGGAGCTCAGATAGTAGCATTTTGTTTACTCCAGCAAACGTAACCTATCAAAAATTGCATCATTAAACGTAAACTTATAGTTAGCAAAAATCGATTATTCTATTCATGGTCAAAACCATCCAATTGCACAGAATTTGGTAAGTGATGCATACCATTTCTTCAAACATATTTTGGATGGTGATGTTGAGGTTTTCCTTCCAAAACCACTCTGTTGCTGCATCATCTTTAGATACCCGTACTCTCTTTAGCTTTGGCGCATCTATTCGTCCTTTAGAGAAGAAATTCATGTTGAGACATCGGATCACAATGACAACTTCCAGCAGAGGGAACATCAAAGTATATCCACCAGAGCTGAAACATCTCAACCTTGTCAACCCCTTAAGCTCCATATACTTCAATTGATGGAAAGCCACTACATGCCCCTCCCTACCTCCCTCATCACTAATGACTTCAGTAAACATTCTACATTTACTTATCCTCAATTCTGTGAGTGCCACCAAATTTGTAGCCATTGTCGGTGAGAACATATCTGATAACCCATCACAACATGACACATTTAGAGTTTTTAGATGTTGAAAATAACTTGTAAAGGGTAATATTACTTTTAGCTCATGACTTGCGCCTTCTATTGCTTCCACATTGATGCTCGGCTCTTCCAGTCCTTCCTTCTCGATGAGTTCCACAATGCCACATATTTTGATCTTCAACTCAAATTGCATTAGATCTCGTGCTATTGAGGCTGGAAACAGAGAGGTGAGGCTCTCACATTTTTCAACGCTAACAGAATGTAGACATTGGAATGTAACTTGACGGTGAAGTTCCTTATCCCATACACATTTTAGCTCTGGTAGATCAAATAACTCCAGCTCTTTTAATGGAGAACGAGTAACAGGATGCCCATCTAGAGAATCCCGTGGCTGAAATTTGAAAATAACTTTAAGCGAACCACACGATCGTGCCTCCAAGCTTTCCAAGCTCAAGATCCGTCCTAGAATGGAAGAAGTAACAACGTGCACAAGCCTATTGCATTCACCCACACAAACGGATTTTAGCTTGGGGAAAGAATCTGCGGCAACTTGATCGTCCCATATCATCACGATGTTATCCAAGCCAGTGATCTGTAATGTCTCCAATCTAGGAAAAACAACCTGCGGTATTTGCTCACAGAATTGGTGATTAAGTTAAATTACAAATTCATGAACTTCCAAGATGTAAATATCGATGAGTGGCAAGATGTAAATTACGAATTCACGGAATAGGTGATTCTATCTTAAGTTGCACAATAGGGAAAAAAGAATAAAATGAAAAAATTTCGTAAAAAAATATCTCCATACTATTGTCAATGACTCCAAGACGAGAAGGCTATTGGAATTACTGAAGACAAAATAAAAGTAAGAATTCCGACCGGATTCTGTTGAGAACGGGACAAAATGGTAATTTGGATATGCTCATATACCAATCATCTAATCACATTGGTGTCTCATAGATCCCAAACTCAAATAAAATCTCTCCCTTTCTGCTTTTTTGGCTAGCCCAAGAATGAAATAGCTACCCATACGTAGCAATAGTTAAATCCCTTAGACAGTTAACTACGTTTGCACCTACTAGTCTAGAATTGAATATACTATAAATAATCGCCCTCAATTTCAATTGAATGCCATTAATTGTTGTTGTGATGATCTAATTTATCAACTTTGTATTCAAAAGTTTTCCAATTACATAGTGCTTGAGACTCTTCTCTAAGTCGGATTTTGAGGTGACAAAGGTTTATTGTACAAAATGAATAATTATTCACGTTATGAATGTTACGATCTATTGTATCTAGATTGCCATTTCATACACTATAGTCTTGACTGCATCTTGGCATGATGCTTCTAACTATGGGTTGAGATTTTGCTAAGGGCTCCAAGCATTCGCCTGAAAATTGTTTCATTTTAGTCTTTCATAGAATTGGTGATTCTATTAAATCACGAATTCATGAACTTCCAAGATGCAAATATTGATGAGTGCCAAGATGTAAATTATGAATCCAAGGAATTGGTGTTTTTGTCTTAAGTTGCAGAAAAGGAAAAAAAAAAGAATAAAATAGGAAAATTTAGTAAATAAAATCTCCATACTTATGTCGATGACTCTAGGACGAGAAGGCTATTGGAATTACTAGAGACAGTAAAAAAGTAGGAATTCTGACCTGATTCTGTTGACAATGGGCAAAATGATAATTTGGATATGCTCAAATAACAATCCTATAATCACATTAGTCTCTCATTATTCGCAAACGTAAATAAAATCTCTCCCCCTCTTCAATTTAGTTAATTTCCTAAAATAATCAAGTCACATTTTGTGCTTTTTTTGCCAGCCCAAGAATCAAATAGCTAGTAAATTGATTAAGAAAAGTGCAGCTAAGAGAAAGAAAATGATGGAGTGATTGAGGTTAAAGAGAGGCAACCCAATCAACCGTCAAATGGTCCACTACAGAAGGAGGTGTGATTTTATCTACTATCGAGGACCTCAAATCAATATTATATCACTCTAAAGCAATTAAAAAGTTAGGCTAAATGATTGCTAATGTCTCCGATCTCAGCAAGGCAACCTACGGAATTCGCTCACGGAATTGGTGATTCGGTTAAATCTCAAATCCATGAACTTCCAAGATGTAAATATAGATGATTGCGAAGGGAAGAGATGGCAATTATTAAGTTGCGCAAAAGGTAAAAAAAGGAGTAAAAAAATCTCCATACTAAATACCGTTTCTAATTTGCTAGAGTATTTCATAGAATGACAGAAAATTATCTAAAGTAATCACTAAAAAAAAGATACGAAATATTTATCCAGTCTTTTCTTGGGCAAATAACTTTGAATTGTAGAGGTTAATTTGATTAGTGAACCAATTTTATTCAATCCGAAGATTTTCTCCTTCAATAATGAGTTAGCGAGTGGTGCATTACTTATCTCTCTCTCTGCATATAATACAGCAAACCCAACAATACTTTCAACCTTAACTTTTGGCCCCAAAAGTTCAAATAATATGATGCAAGGCCACTGTCTAACGAGAACTACGGCTAAAGTTAAAAGCCCCAAAGACTAGGACGATTAAGAAAAAGCGAAGCACCAACGGCTCTTTCCAAAAATTTCCCAATCTAGTTCCATTATCTTTGCCACACAACTGGGAAGAGGAATAGATGTACTCGAACACACTACCTCGTGGGACCCACAACTTATAGTCCACGACCCTTGACTGACTGGGAAACTAAGACATTGCATGTGTCCCTAATTACAATGGAAAGCTTTATTTTTCTGTTTTTCCTTTTCTTTTCTTTTTTTTTGTAAAGAGTAACTAGTCTTTTCCAAAAGCTCATTGTTATAACTCTAGAATATCCTTTATCTGCAAAGCTGCTCGCAATGTCCCCATCTACCTCGCCATCACCCATCACTCCCATCCATACAACAAGTTTTAATTTTTTTATGTTTCATTCACTTGGACTATTGTCATCCCCAGCTATATTACGATGAAAAAAAAAAAAGCAAAGCAGCAAAGGCTCTTTGCAAAGTTTCCTCGATCTTAGTTCCATTATCTCTAAAAGCGAGCTCTCTCCACGGAAGCTCAAAGCATAGGAAGAAGATAAAGTCGTACTTAGACTCATTGGCATGTGGGACCCACTGCTTAAATTTCCACGGCTCTTTATTGACAGGGGAAACTAACATATTGCAAGAGTCTTGGACCCCACCATCAACTTCACTGATAATCGCGTCATTATAAAAGGACAATCTTGTCTAGTCAACGAAATAGCCATGGCAACTTTTGCCGGACAAAATAGCTGTTCACTTTCCTTAACTGGGCTGGGCGATTGTTTGTGCTTAGTTTACTAACTTCTCTTTAATGTTAGTAAATCACTATCAATAACCAATTTAACAGGATATCAAACACAAACTTGTGTTTGTGATGCCAAAAGTGCGTCCAAATACATCTATCCATAATATATGCGTGCATGAATATGCACAAAATTCTCTACTCTTATTATTATGAGGCCTATGCAATGACTAGATGCTTAGTTAAACATGATACATAAAAAGACGTGCATCAATTAGATTGTCATAGTTGCTTTTTTTTAAAAACCCAGTCCTCCTTCCCATTCTTCTTATTGATTTTTAAGAGAGTCACCTATATTATACATTTTGTGGATAATAACAAAGTTTGATGACTATTTCAATGGAATCCACTGTGAAAGATGAGAAATTACTTTAATGCCAAAATTCCGTTCAATTTTGCTTTATGAAACCCTATTAATATACTTGCAACATAAAAGTTGAAATAACTCAAAAAATATCACAAACTAAACTTACATGGATTTCATATAATTAGTTGGATATCTACCCAATTAAGAGAAACGGAAGATTGATTTATCTAATTACAAAGAAGGCGTGAATTGATAAGGTAATAAGGAAGAAAATAAACTGAAAATAACAAATTATATAAGCATCATAATCTGTGTTACATCTAATTAGCAAAGAAACGAAAAGTAAATAAATAGTTACCTGATGCCCATTGAAGAATGCGATTTGAGTGCTAACTTGGTCGTCTGATGTACTACTCGAAGGAGCTGACCCGGCGTTGAAAAAGTTCTTGATATTTGGCAAGGTACGTAATTTCAATACACGCAAATTAGACAACTCCACTTTGCCAAAATCATCAGCTTCTACAATCCCGCGCATTAACTTGCAACCAACAACTTCGATCTCTTCTAGCTCTTGAAGTTCGCTCACCACTGAAAGAGGAAACAATACTTCCATCTTGTCACAACTTTCGACTCGTACGACTTTTAATGTGCTGAAGGACTTGAAGGAGATATGGCCGTGGCATATCTTCTCCAAGTTGATGAGATTCTTGATAAGTAACGACTCCAACGCCTTAAAATTTGTACGGGATGGCGATTGGAGGATGTAATGGACGGAGGAACTATTCTTGACCTGTAGATGCTTTAATTCTGGAAAACCTTTTGGGGATAACGCGCAAATACTTTGCTCACTTCCGTTCAACTCCTCCAAAAACAGATCGTCAGTCTTGCTTAAGATACTTTGTATGCATCCTTTCCGAAGAACATCGCTTAATGGATCCAAGCGGAGCTCCAATGTACACGATCCTTTGCACTCCCAGCGCCACACAGTACCTATTTTGATTCTGTACCTGGTTAATTTCTTGACGTTTAAATCCTCTGGGAGCGCACTTGAATTGGGAATGGATACACGTAGAGTGTAGAGATTTTTCATGTTATTCAACTCTATAAGACTGGCATTAGTCGGTGGAGTTTGGTCCGCAGCATTCCATTGGTGAAAGCTATTCTGCATATACAACTCCTCTAACTTCATCAGGCTTCCAAGCACACCTGGTTCGATTGTCCCAAGTTGTGAACAATAATTCAAGTCTAACAACCTCAGCTTCGTTAGTTGCCCTATTTCTTTTGGCAATCGATCAATGTTGGAGTATCGAATGCTGAGAATTTGTATCTGTTTTAGCTCGCCAAGAATGGCCACATCCTCTAACGAACAATGATCAAGACAAAGAGTGTGTAACTTCTCCAAGAATTGAAACGGCGAAGGCGAACGACTGAGACGTATCCCAGTAAGATTTAAGACCATGAGATTTTTCATAGAGTTGAAATATGAATATGGGACTTCAAGAGAATTCTTGTTTGTGAACAACAAAAAGATTCGCAAATCGGGGCAATCTAATTCTTCGGGAAGTTCTTCCAAGTCAACGCAGGGAAAGCATATCGCCCCACAACTTTTGAGCTTGTCCTTCGGCAACTCTACAACTGACTCATCTTTCAACACGAGAATAGGGTGATCTCTTGAAACGATCGAGGCAACAAACAGACGAACCAAGTCATGTATTTTGAAACCTTCATCTTCTCCACTGTGTAACAACAGGGAGGAGGCTTGAAGAGTATCAATCAGTGAGCTCAACCTATTTCTAGCATATTTCATGCTATTATCTTCTCCAAATAACCCCAAACCCACGCCGTGCCTCACCAAATTTTCAAGAGAGGGCTTAGAGACACCATAAACAGCACAAAGTTGTAACAATGACTTTGCCTCCTCGCATTTTATACGATCATAACTTACTCGTAATGTCTTATCAATCACCTCACCGGTTTCTTCGTCCCAAATTTGTTTCAAAGCAATTTCACATTCAGAGTAACTAGTGTCTATAAAAAGTCTCGCTATCGCGAGAATTAGGAAAGGCAAACCTGCACATATGCGGAGTGCTTCCCCCACCAAGGGTTCTAAGTCAACTCGAACTTTGCCTCCCACCGTTGTCTCAAACAATCTTTTTGCCTCTTCGTCCTCCAGGCCACCAAGGCGGAAGGCAATGTCACAGAGCATTTCCCTTCGCAAAACACGTTGTTCTCTCGCCGTCAACAACAACTTGCATCCTATAACTTTGTTGTCAGGTCCGCAAGGAATGCCGACTAATTTCAAGTCGAGCCGCTCCCACAGGTCGTCCAATATTATGAGGACCTTCTTTTTCTGTCTCTCCTCATTTTCCAACCTCTCGCGCAGAAGCTTCGCTCGCGATTTGACTTTCTCTTCCTTCTTAATGTCACTAAGGCCCAAACAGTCCGCAATCTCTTCTTGAATCGTCTTGATGTCTGGATTTTGCGACACATCGGCCTTAGCGACCCAATCGAACGAATTTTTTTCCCTTATTCTCTTCTCGGCATCCGCCAAAAGGGTGGACTTGCCGACCCCACCCATCCCGTGAACCCCAACCACGCTGTTGCTGTTATTGGCAAGAGCATCCATGATCTCCTGTATGACAGATGCTCTGGAGTCGAACCTAAGCTTAATCGAAGTTGAGGCAGAATATGCGGAGGCTGCCGGGGTGGTTGACCGGATGACATCTTTGCCTTCTTTCCTGGCCGGAGTCGGTGCAGCAGCATTCCCCGGAGGTGGACGGCTGTAGGAGATGTTTTGGAGTTCCCTGCAATTTCCAGCGAGTCGCTGAATGTCTTCGATCTTGTGCCTGGCGTTCCTGCTGAACTGATAGCGACAATTGGGGTCAGGAAGAGTCCCATAGCAGCAAGTCTTCGTCGCCTTTTCGAAGTCCCCCAACAGGTCTCGCGCCTCCTTCGAGGCTTTTTCAGAACTTGCCTGCAACTCTGTGGCCCGGCTGTAGACATTCCGAAGATTGTTTCTAGCCTCTTCCGTGGCATTGTGGAGCCTCTCAGCCTCGTACTCCAGCTTCTCGACTTCCTCCCGAAGATTGTTGGCGTAGCTCTCGGAGGACATGACGTATCCGAATCCACGCTTGATGGGAGCAACTACGTACTTCAAAACATCCCATGCAATAGAAATGGCAGAATCGATCGACATTTTTTTTTGATTTTTGTCCGAAAAACAAAGAACGAGAAAACAAGGAGACAAATACAGAGAACAATGAAAAAGAGAAGCAGATACTGAAGAAGAAGAAGAGGAGGAGGAGGAAGAAAAGTTGTGCCGATGAGACGAAAGAGCAAAACAGAGCAAGAAGATGAGAGACGAATGAGGCGAAATGATTTGAGGGCAAGAAAGGACGAAGGGGACGTCAAAGAAGAATCAATATATAAGCATGGAAGAGCTTGGTTAGCCTTAACAAAACACCAGTCAATTTCTTAGGAAGTTAAAAACTTGGCAGCAGACTGCTCCAAGTCATCACTGGCCAAAAATTGAAAGAAAAAAAAACATAAAACCGCTCTCGGTCGCTCAATCGAGACAAGAATAGAACGGCGGACTTGTAAACGATGACTAACATAAATGGATTATTTTCTTCATTTTATTATTTATTTAAATTTTTTTAATATATCATATCTTTAACTCTATTCACCTGATATTTGCTATGCCTCCTGCAAAGCGCGAGAATCAAACCCCATACATGCGATACTAGCATCTTCACCCCTCTAATTCTTTTATCAATAGGACTGCATACCTATTAGTTATTATCTATTTAGATGACCCATCACCGCTAATGCACAAATATTAATTAGCTGGGAGAAAATTGTAAAAGTAACGAGAGCCAAGCCCACGTAGCCACAGAATTGCATACGGTCTCTTTGCTTGATTTCTTTTTCTAAAATTTAAATTGCACGCGCATCGTATAGCTTCATAAAAATCAAAAACATATAATTACAAGCTGTCAAAATAACAAAATGACTCGGCCTTAAATCATCGCCTATGTAATAAGTACTTTATACAGTGTCAGCATCAATATAACAAAATGTAATAAATAAAGTGAACAGACGGACAAGGATAAGCCACACCCACGTGACATGATGTCATTCTGTTTGGAAGTAGCAATATGGGTCCTACAGTTATTTCAAATTTTAAAACCCAACCCAAGATAAGTTTAAAACATGAAAGTCCAACTCCACGCGAATCTTTTATGGGTTTTGTAACCGACTCGTATTCAACCCATTTTGATTACTAGCTCAAGCCCAAAATGTAATTACGTGGAAAAAATCATTAAAATTGGAAAAAAATGGCATTATTCCGTTGAAATAATCCATGTCACATCTCGGCATTGCACGTAGGATTGTCGGTGACGACTGAACTGCAATGTCGAATAAATCAAGTATGACTTGACCGAAATGACTGGATTATATTTTCCCACAAAGTTTTATGATTATATTGATTCAATTAAAAATGATTTAAAACTTAATTAATTTCCGTCTAATAAGTTTAAGGCTAATTGTGCAATTATGCCAAGGATCTATCTAGTTAGTAGTGCATAATATTAGTTGATGTGGAGCCTAGATGGCCACGATTTTTTTGGAGAGCATATAAAATCCAATTTTGGAACATGGAGAAGTCCTTTCAAGTTATCTAGAGTGCTACATGTCATCCTTAAAGGCAGCCCTTTGGGTAGAGGCAATAATTACATAATTTTATAGAGCGATTCTCACATTGATTTTATATGGGAAGTTAATGCATAAATTTTTATCGAAGAGTTTAATTTCTCAAAAAGAAAATTCACACCCGGCATAATCAAATTCCAAGGACTTTCCACCTAGAGAGATACCGTAGGTGAAAACAGAAAACTAAAACGAAAAAGGCAAAGTAATAGTAACCATAAGCTAAAAATGTGAATTGTGGGAAGCTAACCATATCAGAATGGGTATATTAACATTTCGTCCTTTTTGTTCTCTTAAGGAAGTATTCGTAGGGAGTATTCTAGCAAAAAAAAAAAAAGGAAGTATTCATAGGGACAAATTTGGGAACAGCCCTGACAAAGTATCACATAAGAAATTTAATTTTCTCATAGCATTTAAAAAATATTACAAGGAATCCGTACCAATAATTTTTAACATATTGAAAAGATTGCACATTACTCTTAATAAAAACTACTTGTACTTGGTAAATGTATCTATTATAGGGTAAATGATTTTCATATATGGCGAAATATTCCATATCTTGTAAAAACACTCATTAATAGCAAAAAGGTGTTATTTTTTAGTTATGTTTCCTCTTCATCAGTGTAATATCAACAAAAATCATTCAACTGAATCAAATGATGGTTAACCAAAAGAAAAGCCAAAAACAAGATTAATAAAATACATCAACTTAGAATAAAAACACATTTTGGGCAGTTTTAATTGTCAAACAAACCAATGAAGGTAGGTTGTGGTTAAATTCCATTTCTCTACAATTAAAATTCAAAAGAAAAATACTATTGAAATCCATATGCCAGCTAGGGCGCGTACAATAGCTATGGCCTTTGATGTCAGAAATCTGACTTTAGATTAGAACCCACATGTCCCAAGTTCTGTCTCTATTATATACTACAGTTTAATTAGCAATATCTATTTACTCTTTCGAGCTCTTCACAACTTTTTTCTTCATATTGCTGTGCAGTGTACACTAGCTCTTTTCGCCGAAACTTGCATGTGGTGAATTTCTTTGACAGCTGCCCTTTTTGGAAGATAAAAAGTTGAATTCATTTTTATTGACTGTTTCAAAATCTCTCTCTCTCTCTCTCTCCTTTTCTTGAATCATTTTTTCACAGGGACAAAGCATAGTAATGGTAAGTGAAGATGGGACACACTGATATGCACTACAACTTGGCCCTTGGTGTCGGAGACCAGTTGGACTTGCGGTGACTTGAAGTCTTTTTCCCACTCTTCCTCTGCAGTGAATTCATTACGAAGCTGAAAACTTGTAGGACACTGCTCCAAGTCGTCGCTGGTCAAAAGTAAAAAAAAAAAAGACCGCTTTCGGTCGCCTCAATCAGGACAATAATGTGGACTTGTAAACAATCGAGCAATATAAACATTAATCCGGTACTGCTAATATCTAAGTCACCATCTTTATATGTATGGATATTAAGATGGATGATTTTTTACATTTTGTTGTTCCATGACCAGTCACTGTCACCAATGCCTGAGTCTCCATCATTTCCTCCACCGTTAATAGACAAACCGTTATTAGATAAACATAAATTAGGTATAAGTCCTTTCATCCACGGCTAATGGACAAACATTGATTAGGTACTAGTCATAAACCCGTTCCTTGTGCTGGTCCATGAAATCATATTAAAATGTTGGAGGGGCATTATAATCAAGCTAATTGTTAACATTATAATGTCAATTGTGATTGTTAGGTTAGACATGACCTAAATTATAATTTAGTTATATACCTTTACGAAAAATTCCAATAAAGTTGTTTCGATCAATTTTCGTCCGAATTACTAATGTAGCACTTCAGTCATCACCAACCGTCCTAAGTGGCACACCGCCATGTCAACGTCGGAAATTGGCTGAAAATACTATATTAGAATTTCGTGCAAAGGTTTATCACTAAATTAACAAAATTAGAAAGTTAAGGATTGAATTGGTATCCATACAATATGCTTATGATTAATTGGGTAATATTCCCCAAAGTTACGAGGGATGTTCTCTTTGCAATTAAGTTGACAAGGATCTTTTGCATAATGACTGCCTAGTTTATGAGGAATATGTGCACATAAAAAAGTACCATGTAAAGTTAGCATTCTCCTAAAGTGTGTGTGCGCGCACGCGCACATGTATGATATAGGGGCATGAGCATGGAGACCCATTTATCTAGAAGCCCATGAAATATTATGTCGGTCCCGTGAACCAGTTAAACTCAAACCTTTGGCCTATGTAGGTAGCTCTAACCCAGAGCAGTTTGCACGTAGTTTGTGAGATTCGAACAGGCAATCTCTAGTTCCTAAGCTGGAAATCCCCAACGACCCAACCAATTGCTCCAATTCTGGGGTTAAGTAAGCATAATTTTAATAGTAAAGAGTAAGTGTATTTTCTATTCTGCATCACCTTGAGAAAATGACAAAGTTAACATAAAATTATCGTATAGTAATATTTAATAAGTGCAAAGATAGAGATGCTAAGTAAGTATAACGTTAAAATAATAGTATCATATGATAGAGAGGCATAATATTGGTCTCAGATCTACTTTGAAAATTAAGCTGGTTGAAATTCTCTCTTAATTAGTTTCACCTGACAAACTTGCCCATAAAAAATTGTTATGTTGGAAATGTCGATTTACCCCTAATTCCATATATGAATTATGACCGTCTAAAAACATTTTGACTAATTAGAAAAAATTTAAAGCCACGACAGACATTTTCCTTGTAATTAGATTGAGTAGAACTTATGTTGTTAATAAGGAATTAGTGCATATAAGTACATTATGATATATTAATAGTCTATCTAGTCAGTAGTGCAAAATATTAGCTTAGGTGGAGCCAAATTTTTTTTATATGGAGAACGTAGCAAATCCAATTCTTGAAATTAGGAGAAGTCTTTTCTAGCTATCTAGAATGCTATGTATCAACCTTAGAGGCCGGGCTTAGAGAAGAGACTATTATTACATAATTATATAGATATTGATACTCCCATTGATTTTGTACATGAAGTTATTGCATAATTTTGTATCAAAAAGTATAAATTCTCTAAAAAATAAACACCCAACAAACACAATGACGAGCATGATCGAAGTCAAAGCCCTTTCCATACACAGAGATAATGTAGCTGAAAACGGACACATAAAAGAGACGAAAGAAAGTTAACGGTAAGCTAAAAATGTTGGCTAGCATTGTGTCCTTGTGGTCTCTCAAGGAAATATGACAGAGACAAATTTGGAACGACCCTAACAAAGTATCACGTGTAAAATTTAATATTCTCATGGCATGTAGAAAAAAAAAACAAGATCCTTTCGTGATTGGTCAGTTCATCCACAATAATTTATACTATATTTATATTTATATTTTAAGAGGGGCTTCAATCGTCAAGAACTTAACCACAAGGTCAGATCTCTTAACGTTGAAAAATATTGCAAGCAATTTGCACTGTTCATTATTTAACCTGTTTATAAAATTGCACGTTACAGAATTACCAAAAAAAAGTCGTAATTGTACTAATTTAGTCCTAAACTTTTTTTTTGGCCAATTGAGTCCTAAATCTTTTGCATTTGTGTTAATTTAATCCATCCGGTCAATTTTGGTCAGTCGACTCTAATATGGATACTGGCCATCTTACGTGGCGCGGCTAGCGTTAACGGAAATAATTTTT